AGAGAGAGAGAGAGAGAGGAGGGCGTGTATCCCAAATTAGGCGTTACACGCGACGTAGTAAAACGCGCGTTACAAGCGGTCGACGACGGGTCCAACGGGTTAGGGTCGCTTTGCGCTCGCGCGCGCCTCCTGGAGCGTGCGGTTTTTTTGGCGCGAACGAGCGCACGTTGCATTACCGGGCGTACGCGCTATTGCGTCGCGTTAATTGTAAGTTCGGAACATATCTCGTGTCGCTAAGAAACGCATTCCGGTTTTCGTTCAAGAGGAGAGAGAGAGAGGGGGGTGGGGGAGAAAGAAAGAGAGAGAGAGAGAGAGAGAGAGGGCGAAAGGGATCGTGACGGAGGAGAGGAACTCCCCGCGATGGTACTCTGGCGGGACTTTTTCTCCCGTTCCGCTCGTCCTCGTTCTCCTCCTCGTCGTCGTCATCGTCGTCGTCGTCGTCTTCGTCCTCTCGTCCGCGCGCGCGCGCGCGCGCGCGACGCAGATGCGCGCGAGTGCAGGGTGTGGTGCACGCGGCTGCCGTTGGTCGTTGCTGATATGTCGCCGCTGTTCCGTACTACTGGTTCTCCCCCGTTCCTCTATATCCTCCCAGGGCAAGAATGTTCCCGTGTTGCTTCGATTAATCAGTCGTTTTTCGTGCCCCCGCTCTGGGCCAATAGAGGGAGAAAAACTTAACGTATGTGATAATGCGCCAGCTATGCTCCCGGCCGCCGGCTCTCTCCGCTGCTGGAACGTAGGTCGTGCCTGCATACAGGTATACCGAAACGAGTCGAGACGACGACGCGACGGTGCACTGACCGCCGCCGCCGCCGCCCGCCGCCACCGCCGCCGCCGCGCTGCGCCGCGCCGCGCCGCGCCGGGGTGCTGTCCCGCGAGGGACTGAGACTTTTTTCCCGGCAACAGCTCCGGGGACACGTAACCACCGTTCGGAAGTCGATTTGCTCGTAGGACAGCGCGTATAGCCAGTCGTGAGCCGAACTTCCACCGCCGCTCCCGGGCACCGATGTCCGACGGGCATCATCGGAGACGGGGACGCTCGCCGCGGCTGCTGGTCGCTCCGTATCGCGGGCTGTTTCTCGCGACTGTTGCTTTTTGTCCACTCGGGCGCTACGAGGAAGGCGCGCGGAGGACGCGTCGGGGATTTTTATGGACGCGCGAACTGCGTCGCTCGATCGTGCGACCGGCACTTCCTACGCGTTTCGAAGCCGCGATATATTTCACGAGCCGGCGGATCCGGCCGCTTTTCACCGACCTGTGATCCGAATTAAAGTTCCATCAAGCATGACTTACGACGTCCGCGAGGAGAGAGGAACGACGGTGGCGCCGACGACTGCGAGGAGAAGAAGAAAGGAAAGTTCCTCCGCCGTGCTCAAATTCGACGTTCCTGCGAAAACTCCGCGCTCGTTACGACATCGCTCCCCACCCCCCCCCCACCCCCCGGCGACGAAACGATCGCGCTCGGCGCTTCGGAGGCTGCTTCTCGAACTCGGCGAAATATATATGCGAATTTTTCAAGTCCCGTCGAGGGGGAAAGTACTAGGTCGCGCTCGCGCAAAATGACGAGGCGCGAATGTCGCCGACGGCCGACGAGCCGCCTAACGACGCTCGTTATGCGTATTTCCACGCGGATTAGCGAAGCACCGAGCGACGCGGTTGCGCTCTTTTATGTAGACTGCAACAAGCATGTGTCGCTTGGCTTTTGCCATGCGTCTTAAATAATACAACGCGCGATGCTATGTGACAAATTAGACATATCGACAAACAGACATAAAAAAATACGAATCATTTCCACCAGCCTGATGACAGTCTCCGGAAATCGCGAACTGTCGCGAGACACGCAACCCCTCCACCCCACCCCACCCCCCCTCGCCCCCCGCCCGCGAGTCGCTCGAACACAAACTGCCGAACTGTCAACGTTTCGACAATTTCGCGGTACAATTCAAAGTCCGAGAGGAAGCACGGATTCGATTATCTCCTTTTATCCTTCAGATATGCCGCACCGACTGCTCGCACGATACGTCGCGCGTGTCGGACACCGAGGGGCATTCCTCGTCCGCGAGAAATGGCGTTCTTCCGAGAGCGCTCGCGCGATCAGAAAGCGGCCCGTCGCATCGCCGGGATAGACATTCCGCGCAGCCGGTGTATCCAAAGTTTAACTTTACACCAGGGGTGGCGGAGGGGAGCGAGCGCCGTTCGACGTGATCGCACCATGTGTATGTGAGAGTCTGCCCCCGGTCCACGTATTATGACTACTTGTAGAGCACGTTTGCGGTCCCTCGAGCGCGCGCGGAAGCTCTGCTAGCTTCCCCGCTCCTGCTTCTCAGCGACCTTAGCGACACATGGCGCGGGAGGACGAGTTCTCTCTCTCCCCCCCCTCTCTCTCTCTCTCTCTCTCTCTCTCTCTCTGTCTCTGTCTCTCTCGGTCTCCGCCGAGCGCACGGAGTCTTTCGAACTCGTTCGTCCTGAGGCGCGCGTCCCGTCTCGCGAAATACGGCAGGACCAGCCGCGAGAATTCCTTTTCTAATAACGCGCGCGCGAGAGAAAAGGGGAAGCCGCGTCGCGACGCGGCGCGTGTTTCCGCCTCAGCGGAATGCTAGATTACCGTAAAACCCGCCGCCGCCGCGGAGAGAGAGAGAGAGAGAGAGAGAAAGAGTCTCGCGCTTGTTTTTATCATCCGAGGAATTTGCAGCGCGTGACGTCAGCCTCCGCAGATTTGAATATCTAAGCGGCTGAAGATTGCTCCTCCGCCTGGGCGATCAGCGGCTGGCTGGGCTTTCTTCCTCCAGGCGGACGCGCGAAAATTTCCCGGGATCTCCTCCTCTCCGTCTCTCCCCTTACACCTCGCTGTCGTTTTCGCGGGACCCCCGCGCGCGGACGCTCCTCTGGAAGAAGAGCGTGCGCTCTCGGAGATAATGAAATCCGAACACCTGGTGGGCTTCATCGGCCACGTTACACGCAAATCTCGAGACGCACCCCTTAATTTCCTGCACGCGATGACGAGGATAAGCGGGATTGACTGTAATGACCGTTAACTCACTATTAGGTAGCTGTAAGTGTATACGCGCCCAACAGTGTGTGCTTAAGTAATGCAGCGGCCAATTATAACGAGTCAAGGACGACGTGCTTCTATCGCAGTCTCTCCTCGCGAGAGACGTTGCGTAATAGACGAGTCAAAAAATTATTATGGCTAACGTAGAAATTTATAGTCGGGATGTCTAGCCGGTCGGCTCAATTAATCAATGTACCCGCACACGAGTGCGCACACGCTCGGGCACAGAAGCCCGTAATTACGAAAGTACTGTCGCCTTGGCTTTTCGTAAATAGTGCGTGTACGCGAGTCACGGCACACCGGTCGTGTCGTGTCGTGTCGTGGTAAACGCGCGTATCACTCTCTCGCGCGGGCTCGTTGACGAAATTTCAATTCCAACAAAATCATCGCGTTCTCTCCGCGCGTTTCACGCGCGCCCCTTTGGCATCCGCTGCCACGTCCGCGTGCCATCGCGATAGCGCGGAAGGACGGTCTGCGATCCTGCGGAGAGAGAGAGAGAGAGAGAGAGAGAGAGAGAGAGAGAGAGAGAGAGAGAGAGGGGGAGGGAGAAAGTGAAGGAGCGATCTGGTGACATCAAAGTTTAATAAGCGCCATAAGCCGATCCAAGCTGCGGTACGCGGCTAAAACTCGTCGGGCAATAAAAGCAGTAATAAAGCGTTCGGCCTTTCTCACGTACCGCGGGTGGAAGAAGGAGCGCGAGGGTGGCAGAGAGGCGCGGCGGACCAGCAGGCTCGCTCGCTCGCACGGTGGTTAGCCAAAAGGTTAGAAGGGCGGGAACGCATTAGCGGTGGAAGGTGGCGCGCTCATAGAGACGTCCGGCCGCCCAATTACTCCCGCATTAAATCAATGTTCCTCCACCCCGCCGACCGTTCCGCCGTCCCGGTAATAAACCGTGGCCAACATATCTGCACGACTTACGGCTCATCCCTCGTGTCGCTCACCCTCGTCTTGCCCGGCCGGGGACGTCGCAGGAATGCGCGTTCTGTCGTAATATTTGGCTTTAAATCATGTCGCGCTGACAGGCCCCGCTTTCTCGCGTCTTCTGATTCATCCCGCGGCACCGCCTCTCTCTCTCTCTCTCTCTCTCTCTTTCTCTCTCCCCCTCTCCCTCTCCCTCTCTCTTTCTCTCTCTCTCTCTCCGTCGCGAATTTCAAGACCCGGGGTTGCCGATGGAGATGGTGACTTGTCGTTCCCCTTACGAGACACCGGTGTGTCCGGCGCGACGGAAACGCACGGCGGCGATCTTGAGGGCCGATCGTGGACGGAAATAATCCGCGGTTCGTCGATTCGTCGAGTCATTTATAGATTCGCTTTTCGCCGGATTTACGACTCGACGGCGGTGCGAATGGAGGAGGGGCGAGAGCGTGTACACGCGCGGGGCTACCATTCAACCGCGAGATTAGGTTCGCGCACAATTTACGACGGCGATCCTGACTCCTCCAGTCGAGCTTTCATATAAAAGCTTTTTCCTGTAAGCTGCGACACGGGACTTGGACTTTGGGGTTGCGCGCGAGAGGGGCAATGCGCCGATCGCGCACCGTGACGAATTAGGAATATCTACGCAAGTATCGACCTCGCAAGTCGGACCGTGGAGAACAACAAAGTCGTGGATTTCCAGCTGATCAGCGTCTTACTTTAAAGTCCTACTTACTCCGCACGATCGTTTCTCATAGATCGAGACTGATATGTAATAAATGATCGCGCAAGAAATTCTACATAACACGTCGTATATTTCCTTCAATCGTGATCTCTGTCATACTAATTCCTAATAATAATAATATAATAATATAATATAATAATGATAATATAAATATCAGCGCACACACACACACACACACACACACACATATATACAAATAGAGAGACACATACAAATAATATACAAATATAGAAATAACGATAATATGATACAAATTATACTTGCATTAATGCAAACATTTTTCGTTTGCAGGTATCGAGACGACGCGCTCTGCTGGACGGACAGGTAAGAAATCCACCGCACTCGTACCGATTTGTTTTTATACTTATACGCACTTACGTAAATCGCGTGTACAAACGGGAAGCTTGTTGAAAGTTTTCTCTCTCTCTCTCTCTCTCTCTCTCTCTCGCTCTCTCGCTCTCTCGCTGTACTCTCGCCGACGAAACGACGGCCGGCATGCTGCGTCCGAGAGGCGCGCGGCACGGGCGAAACCGATCGGGCTAATAATAAAAAGCGACGCTACGAAAAGAGGAGCGGGCTCGCGATCAGCGGCTAAGGATACAGGAGATCTCGCTGGCGAGGTGATTGATACAGAGAGATCGACGTCGCGACGCAATTCCATTGTTCAAAGTGAGCGCGGTGCGCTCGCGCTCACGCAGAAGCAACGAGCGAGGCATCGGGGTCTGGCACGAGGTTCTTACCCACGGATATAAATCAACTCTCGAGTGACGAACGAACAGAGTCGGCACGAAGCCGTTTCACGGACCACCGTACATGTACACACACACACACACACACACATATGCACGAATGGCCGCGCGCGCGTATACGCTTGTACTCACGGAAACGACGACTTCCGAACGCGCGCTACGTTTTGCTACTTGCCAAACGCGTTCCTCAAACAACGAGAAAACTTTCCGCGTCTTCCTTTAAAACAAACAAAACGCGACTCTGAGAAGGAGGATGATCCTAAAGGAAAGAAAGAATTGCCGCTGGTTGCTGCAAAGGCGCGCGCGCGCGCGCGCGCGCGACGCTTGTAGTCGTGTAATAATTGATAGAAACGCGCGCGGTGTGTAACGTAATTAAAGCAGCCGGGGAACGGTTGAGAACGAACGACGGTGTTTACGGTGATCCGTGTGATTTATTCGAAAGCGATACACGAGAACGAACTATTATGCATAATCACGGTGCGCGAAGGAAAGTATAATTAATGACGCGGCGGTGCGCGCGAGCAGTACTCGCGTATCGCGCTATAATTAACTATAAGCGGTTTCACGCTAATTGCAAACAACAGAACGCGATTAATAATACGCGCGACATTATCGGCTCACTCCTACCCGCGCGCGCCCGTTCGTGTCGTCGTTCGCGAATCTGCAAGATACTGTTCGTGTAACAGGCCGCGCCCGGTGAAAAATATCGCTTCGCGTTATTCGGACGCGTCGGAATTAATGGGACATTCCTCTGACGCGTTACGCATCGTTAATGATACGCGAGTTCGCCCGCGCGAAATTGCGCGGCGTGCGCAGTCTCGCCGCGGCAGAAATCGCATCTCGGTGAGTGCAAATAATAATCCGATATATCGATAAATATCGCGCCTTGAGGAAATGATGCGACGCGACGCGGCGCGCGCAGCGCGAGATTTCGAGAACGACGAAGAGAGAAGCCGCGCGTGGTCCCGACGTTTTATACGGGCGCAAATTATGTTTAAAGGGATCATTAAGCAGGGGTGATTCATCAGCGGGAAAGCAAGCGCGCTACGACGAGTAAAAGAAAAATCACGCCAAGGGTTATCCGCTCCAGGCATGTCCGAGAGGAGCGGGTTGATAATTATTAAAGTATCGATTAAATGCTCCGTTCGCCTTGATTGATCAGCATTTATATCGCGGGTACGTCCACCTCGCCGGCTCCCTACAATTTCCAACCGGGTGCCTCTCTCTCTCTCTCTCCCTCTCTCTCTCTCTCTCTCTCTCTCTCTCTCTCTCTCTCTCCCCCCCCTCCCAACACCAGTGCGTCGCGTACTTTTCAGCCGTAATACGCTTGTGTTTTCCTTTTTGTTATAACAGCGCACATTGAGAGAGGAAGCGAGAGAAATGTTAATTATATTACTCATAATTACAACATCTCCCGTCAGCGACGAGTCGTTGGGGCTCGAAGGTGACTCTTACGCTCGAGAGTCTTTCGCACCCGGTCTCCCGGGATATGCGACCAAGAGCACGCCGGGAAAGTTCGCGGATCGACGTGGACGCGACGTCGTCGGTCGAAAATCGCAGAGGCAACGAATCCTCCGAACGACGGAGGAGAGTCTGCCGGCCGAGTGACGTGTGTCGTCGCGGCCGCTCGAATTCGCACTTCGTGGTCGGCTGGACACGCGGTTGCGAATCCGCCGGGAGCGCAGCGGCGCAGTCCTCCTCCTCGAAGGAGGACTCGCGGCCCCGCGACTATTTTTTTGCCGACGACCGATTTAACTGGATGTCGTTACTACGGTCGCGGGCATTGTTGTCGGCCGGTTCGTTCATCGGTTTATCCTTACTCCTCAGTCCGGGGAGTCTCCCCCCCCCCTCTCTCTCTCTCTCTCTCTCTCTCTTTCTCTCCCTCCTCTTTCTCTCCTCTCACATTGCCCGCGTTCGCTCAGCCGCCGATCCGATCCTATATTTATTGTATCGAGGAGACCAGAGCCGCCGCATTCCTCGCGCATGCGCCGCCCGTAATGAGCGGTCTCCAGTCCTGTCTGTCTTTCCGTCCGTCTGTCCAGAGGACCGGTCGACCGGTCGCCTTCCATACCCCCTACTCGCGGTCCCTTCTGGATCTCCCCCAGCCCTTTGCTCTCTTCCTTTCTCCAGCGGCGGCCGCGCTATTCTTCGCTCGCTCTTCGGCTCCCTCGCTACATTCTCGATCTCGCCATCGTCAACCGCGGGACGTTCCGCGTCCTCCACATCGAGATGCACGCGCGCGGTGCGGATCTTGCAAAATTTATCTCGGTCGACCTCAGCGCTGAGGTTTTCGTAGCCGGCGCGTCGATGGACAAGTGTCTCATCGAGACTTGCCGGTAACGCCTCCTCTCACCGTAGCCGCTCGCTGTCGACGCGATCGTCGTCGTCGTGTCCTCTTCGTGTCGCGAGCTCAAGTCGATCGTCAGTCCTTGGATCGATTTTCCAGTTGGCGCGCGGTAATCGGGCTAACGTCGACGACGAGGACACTTCCTCGGTCGACGTCGCAGTCCCGGCGAGCTGATTCCTCGTAGCTCCATCGCGTATCACCGAGACTGAAAGCCATGAAACCCGGATTCGAGAGACGACGTCGTCATTGCGCTTACTTGGATAGTTGTCATAGCGCGCCACTATTAAAAGCAAAGTGCAAAAAGTAACGTCACATTTTGCGTCGCCTTAAGCAGTAACTCGACCGGCCTGGAGACGTCGACACGCTCAGCCTCGCTACAGCTGCACCGTCGACCACTTTACGCAAGATCGTTTCTTATCTTTCTCTCTCTCTCTCTCTCTCTCTCTCTCTCTCTCTGTCTCTCTCTCTTTCTTTGGCCCTCCCTCCCCCTCCTCTCTCTCTCTCTCTCTCTCTCCCTCTCTGTGTTTCTGGCGAGATATGAATCGAGACTCGATAAGAAGCGTCGTTGCGTAAGATGAGACACGGATTCGCGATTTCCCATTTACGGAAGGGAATATTCACGCGATTTCACCGAATTTTTTTCACTCCCATTGAGCGAGACTCGAGGATCATTTCCGTCGTTTGACGAAGGAAACGCGAAGACGGAAGGATCGAGAGGCACAATGTGTGGCTGAGAGAAAGAGACAGAGGGAGAGAGGGGGAGAGAGAGAGAGAGAGAGAGAGACGAGGCGCGGACAAAGCAACTTGCTCGTTGCGGAATCGATCGCGAGACGACGGGCACGAGAAGAAGCCGACACGGAAAGAAGGATGAAGTAGCGAACGAGGCAGGCGTTCTTGGTGTACACGGAGGAGGTTGATGTTTTATGCCAAATTAAACGATGCTATCTCGCAGCACCACCTCGCGGAGACCAGTCTTCGTTCCACTGCCATTTTCGGAAAACCGCATTTTACACTGACTTAGCCGACAAAAAGCGTGTATAATTGCGCACAATGCGGCAGATAGCCCGAGAAAAATCAACCGTCGTTTAATAGCGCTAAGCGTGCGAGCGCGCGCGCGAGCGCTAGCGAGCGAACGCGAACGCGAACGCGACAAACGAGCGAGCGAGCGAGCGAGCGAGCGAACGAACGAACGAGCGAGAGAGAGAGAGAGAGAGAGAGAGAGAGAGAGAGAGAGAGAGAGAGAGAGAGAGAGAGAGAGAGAGAGAGAGAGAGCGAGCGGACGGACGAACTTTGGAGTCACGACGACGGGCGCGACAGAGCGGCTGAAAAACGAGCGAATGCGCGATGGTCCGTGGATTCTAATGCCGCGACTAAACTAATGCGTGAAAAACAAGGCGGATTTACCCGGCCCACCGATGGACGACGGCGATGCCCGGTGTCCGTCCGCGCGGCGGGAACGCTTTGAGCGGATCCGATACCTATTAAGATCGTAGAAAACGGATCTGCTTCGAAGTTGCCTAGTCAGTATGATCCTTCCCGTCGATTCGCCACGCATTTTTAGCGCTAGCGGTACAAAACGCCCCGAGTTAGTCGCGCCGCATACCTAGCTACGCGCCAGATACATCGAATTACATCACTGGTGCGCGTCGGTTCTCGCGCGAGATTGGAAAATCACGAGAATCGAGAGAGAGAGAGAGAGAGAGAGAGAGAGAGAGAGAGAGAGAGAGAGAGAGAGAGAGAGAGAGAGAGAGAGAGAGAGAGAGAGAGAGAACCTGAGGATCTCCGCCGTGTCGTGGTAACACCGAGCTAATGAAACGCTGGGACGCGCGGCATGCATCGTCCAAATAACAGAAAAATGACAATCCCGAGGAAGCCCGGGACAGTTTGCCGAAAAGTCACTATATTGCACGAGGATGTTCCAATATTTCGGCGGATCGCCTCGGCGGCGACAGTTGGACCTCGGCGTCACGAAGGCGCTCTTCAGGAAACTGAAGCATTTCTTTTTCTAAGTGCGACACGCTTCTTTTTCGAGGGAACTGTACGTCCACCGACGAAACACGTCACATCCCACAAGTCGCTCTCGGGACAGGTGAAGTGTATCCCAAAATGTATTTTCTCTCTGATTTTTACTCGGCTGTCGAATGAAATATTTCGCGTGACCGCGTCTGCCCTCTTCGAGAGTCCCACCGAGTGACAAGCCGAATCGGAAAATATGCCAGTCCCGAGGGTCTTAATTAACGATTTGATTGATCAATCGGACCGACCCGGCGCGAATTTGTCGGCTCCGGAGCGCTTGATTTCGCGACGAGCACGCGTCTCGCAGCCGCGCGATTTACGACACGTAGACGTCGTCCACAGTCACGTCGGACTGTCGGTGTGGCTTTTCGAGACACCACCACGTCACATCGCACGCACACACGCACGTCTCGGTCGGGACGCGTGCCTTTCGTATCGAGCGATAGAGGAAGAATAGAAGGCGAGCGAAGGCGCGAGGGAAGCCGAACGATCGTCGCTACGTACGCGTGTGGTACTTTGTGGTCACCCGTGGGGCTCTCCCATTCAACCGGTGGCTCGACTCGCCCACTCGTTCGTTCATTCATACGCGGGGAACGCGATTTGAATCGATAAGCCAAACTCGGAAGCGTATCTTTCCTCCGCCGCCTTCTCCCGCTGAAGATCCCCCGCTCTTGACCTCCGCTGCGGCGAAAATCGCCTTTGTTATCTTCCGCTCTCTCGCACCGGGCGAACGTGACGCATACGGGGGGACCCCGAATGCCGACGCGGATGCGTTGGCTTTTTCGTCGAGCCTCGCGATTAATAAAAGTAACTTCCGGCCGGGGTTGTGTGACAAACGATTCGCCCGGCTTTGGATTTAAAATCGCGCGCGCGCGCGCGTGCGCTCACGTTTGTTTCTATTCGCACGAAATGGAGAAAGCGTCGATACGCATCGCGAGAGGGTATAATCCCATTAGACTTTAATCGATGATCCCCTCCAGCGCTCGGCGCGCAATGTGTTGGGGTCGGCCTGGGGATAAGGTTGCGGCCGGCGTGAAAATAGATACACAAGCCACCGCGGAGGTACGGCGTTTTATTGGCGTCGCGGGGTTCCAGATCTCGCGATCGGTCAAATGAAGACAGAGCGTCGCAGAGCGTTCCGAGGTCTCGAAACACGAGAATTGGCATTTCGTTCGTAACGCCGTCGCAGCTTTTGGTGCTCTTAAGTCCGCTCCGTTTCCCTCGTTCTCTGATTCACCGCTCTTTCCGAAGGCGAGCTTCGAGCTTCCCTCCTCCCTCCGCCCGCGAACGTATGATATAGTACGAGTTTGATCTCTCGATCGAACGCTCTCGCGCAACTTTCGAGCTCGACTCGACGGTCGACTTTTATTTCAGACAAAAGCGCCCCGGCCATGTATAATTTTGGGTATTCTTATTGTTTTGGCTTTGGGATTCGGATATTTAAATCCCAACACAGAATATACATATTCCAAATTCGAATTTGTTTTAAATTAAATAATAAACAATAAATAATAAAATAAAATAATAAAGTAATAATAAAATAATAAAAAATTAAATAATAAATAATAATAATCCCGACTCTCAACATAGAGAATACATGTATCCAACGTCGATAGTTAAAATATTCGAATTTAAATTTAGTTAAAATATTCGAACGCGATAAAAATGCCCAGAGTTAGGCACGCGTGTGCCTTGGTACTTTTACTTTACCCTGTCGTCCTCCCGGCGATTCGCAATTTGCGCAACGTGGGAGCAAGAGTAGTGTCGCTCACGAGAGCGCTCTCGTCGCTAAGTAAGAAAAAGGACGATTAATCCATCCGTCGTCGCGAGGACTCGGCGCGCCGGGCTACATCCGCGAGAAGGGCACGCGCAGCGAAGATCACCGACTGGTGGGGGTGACGTTTCGGGGATGATGGGGGTGGAACCCTCGAAGCGAGCGGACGAGCACGAGGCCAACACGCGCCTCTGCCCGATGACATTTATGCACGCGTTCTCAAGAGCGACCGTCGCGCGGCTGTTTCTTCGACACACACTCCCTCTCTCGCTCTCGCTCTCTCTCAGCTCGCCCCCTTCACTCGGCAGTTGGTTCCGCAAATTGCAGCTTCGCTGCCGGCGGTAGAGTCCATTGGTGGCGCATTGCGTTCGTGATCGGACCGAATGTTTATAATCGCGGAGGATCAGTTTTAGCGCGACCGGGATCGCGAAGTACGTACACCCCCTCCCACCCCGCCCCCTCCCCCGCGAGAGTTCGCAGTGAGGATCATCGTTGTGAGACCGACGTCGCGTTGTGCTTCGACGGAACTTCGTCCCGTAACTGTACGTGACACACACACACACACACACACACAGTGACATCCCGGTGAAATAAACAGACTCGCGGGCACGCGAGAGCGATCGGCGTGTATACGTGGAGGTTTACGTGTAGTGCGAGAAACTGAGAAATCGTCGCTCATCATCAACATGCAGAGACGATCAACCGTGGCGGCGCAAGCGACCCGGACACGTGCAATAAAGTCCGCTCCCGGCGGCCTCGCGAAGTAAACACGGTCCGAGAGAGAGGATCGCGCGCATCCTTCTTTCTCTCTCGCTGAAGTCGGCGAGGGAAACGGGGAACTCGAAAGACAGAACTGGCGTTCCCCCAGGAATCCGCGAGCATACGCAAAAATGTGGCAAACTGCGAGCCTACGCGCCACGTATAAGCATCCCGCGATTACGCAGCTGCGGATGAACAATAACGAATTTCATTCGTGGTTTCATTCTAGGAAACCGTCCATGGACGACGTCGGAAATCCTACCTCCGTCAACGCACGGTGAGTACTCCCTCTCTCAGACCCGATTCTCGCATTCTACCGAATCTCGCGCGACTTTGTACACTCCGTGTGCGCTGTACCTGTCTCGATGACGACACGGAGATAAATCCAATTTACGAGCGTTCAAGATGCGCACGACGGAGTCGCTCCTGCGTGCGTCACAGACGCGCGCGAAGAGCGGAGCTAAAAATAGCGCGTGATACAATTTCCCAAATAATTTCGCTCGACATGGACGCGAGACCGCGGCGACAAATCGCGCGTCGGATTCGCCTTGCCGGGCGGGATCGTTAAGTCTCTCTCTCCTGTGCTGCGATTCTGTAACTCGTTATTGGAGTTAACGACAGTTTCGTTATCGTTGCGCAGCTTTTCTACGGTATACAAAAGCTGCGCAACGATAACGAAAGTGTCGTTAACTCCAATAACGAGTTATTGGAGTTAACAGAATCGCGGTACTGCGCGGCCTGCGTGGGGACGGATTACGAGGACGCGACGCGAGAGACGTATCGCGCGTATCGGCCACGAGCGTTTTCACGGGCGATTGCGATTTTCGCGATGTTACAGGCGCTCGTAAGATTCGTTAATACCGACCGATTGGCAAGCGTCCGCGAGTAGCCGTGGCCGGAGGACGAGCGATTCGGCGTAGGTAAAAAGCTTCCCGGCTAAATCTTATCGACTACGATCTACCCTCCGTCCTCTATCGAGAGCGGCCTATCTGCCGCCGTAACAATTGAACCCGTAATAGAATCACATTTATTCTTATTACCCGACGAGGTCAACCGACCGGCGAAACTTCAAGATCTCTTCTCCCCCTCGCTCTCTGTTTCTCTCTCTCTCTCTCTCTCTCTCTCTCACTCTCTCTCTCTCTTTCTCTTTCTCTTTCTCTCTTCGCTCCCGTACGACTTCGGATCAGCTCTCCCGAGCCATTCCACGACCTGCGTTATTTTCCCCCCGAGCTCTCCATCGTTTTCTCGCCATCCTGCCGCGTTTCATGGTCCACTTTTGTTTATCCCTGCGGTTCCGACGTGATCCTGACGCGCGCACGGAATAGCCGCGCAAGGAATCGCACGTGCGCGTCTCTCCGTCCTGATAATCCATCGCAGAAATAAGTCCGGCGATTAGCGGGAAACAGAACCGCGTGTCTCGCGCTCGAGATAAGCGGCGGCAGCGACGGGGGAGAGAGAGAGAGAGAGAGAGAGAGAGAGAGAGAGAGAGAGAGAGAGAGGGTTTGGGGGAGAGAGATGTAATCGGCGCCGCGCGGTTTCGTTAGCCGGCCATTCAACGTATTTAATATGTATAACCGTGACTCACCACCCACCTACGTCGCGTTCAACGGTGAAGAATCTGCCATTTCGTATCTTGCCCTCCATCTCGTGATATACCTTGGAAGTTGAGCTGCAAGGCCATCAAAGTCTTTAGCCAGGTTATGGAGATGCCGCTTCCGAGATAAATCGCGGAGTTTTAGCATAAAAATTCCTCGCCGGCTCAACTCCGCGAGCGTCGTCCGTCTGTCCGTTCGTCTCGAGTCCTCCTTCACCCTCCCTACCTCCCTCCCGCCCTCCAGCCTTCCCTTCGTCTGTCTTTCTTCACGTTAAATCCGACACAAAAATATAAATACCGGGAGCGACATGTGCTGCGTGTGCAGCAAAGCGCCCCGGAGGATGTCAAAAGATCGAGCTAACGAATCATCATCGCCGAGGCGAAAGTGCGATGATAAAGGATGGTGGGCGTGTTACGACGGGCGCATCGCGTCACTCGGATAAGCGATGCTGCTCCAGGCGACAGACAGGCTCGCGACAGGAGGAGATGCCTCCTCTCGAGCCATCGCGGCGGGCGATCCGACGAGTTCGCAGGACCCCCGAGAGACGCGAGGAGGATTTCGCGACTCGCTGATCCTTGCGCGGCAGATGCCCTCCGACTGCGGAGGCGCGTTCGTCAGTCACGAAGGCTCGCCTTTCTTTCTCGCGTAGAACCGATTCGCGAGATCACGAGCGAGGTGCATCGAAGATGACGCGACGGCGGGCGCGATTCCGTCTATCGGGAAGAGTTCGATGAGCGGTCGAGCGAGCCTGTCGGCTCGCGCGCGAGCCGCGACCGTTAGAGCGCTGACTCCTTCGGTACCACCATTAATATTAATGCATTCCGCCGTTCTCCGCGTATTATACTCGCGTCGACGACGAACACGCGGCCGCATCTTCCAACAATATCGCTCTCGCGTTTCTGTAAATGACACACGCACACACACGCGCGCGCGCGCGCGCTCACTCTCTCCCTCTCTCCCTCTCTCTTGTCCTCTCTATCTCTATCGCGCTCCGTTGCTGCATCTCTCTCCGAGACCGAGCCACGCTCGGAACGGGACGGTTTTGTCCGGTCCAGGCTGAATATTCACAAGCTGGTCGATAAATAAAACTCAAAGGAGGAAAGCGAAACAACGACGCGCTGCATCTTCCTCGCCTCCCCCCCCCCTCCGGCCTCCCCGTCCATCCCCCGGGCTCACGTTTACTTTTCTTACGCTCCGGTTCTCCTCAGTCTCTCGGAAGCGAGAGAATGATAGACAGAGAGAGAGAAAGAGAGAGAGAGAGAGAGAGAGAGAGACCTCCGTGGAGACCGCATTGTCGCACGATTTCCTCCCGTCTTACGAAACGCGCCGACAATGTGCGTCTCTCTACGCTGTCGACTCTGCCGAGTTGTAACTGATGCAGCGTTACTCCGGAATCTGCCGCTCTTGTCTCGCCGTCGCCGCCATGAGGGAGCCGCTAACACTCGATCTCGATGCGAGGAGAAAGTTATTCGTCGCTATTTTCATTTTCTACGAATGCTCTCTAATTTGGCTGCGCGCGCGCGCGCGCGCGTCGACTTTCACATTCACGGCGTTAATTCCGCGCATAATTTTAGCGCATTCAATTCGACGAGCTCGCGAACAGTCTTCGGAAGCAAGTCTTCGCAAGTCGCGCAACGTGAATCCGCTGCGTGTCGCGGACGTGCCTGATTAAAGCGCTACGGAAAAAAGGGGGTCGTTTGTTTCGAAAGTACGAACAATTCGCGAGACGTTCCTCGCGAACATTGTGCGCAAGAGGCAAGATTTAGAGGTGAGACAACCGGCAGTCGCAAGTGTGGCCCCACAGGGTGCCTCCCTCACAAATTCCCCCTCCTCTGTCCTCTTTCTCTCTTTCTTTCTTTCTTCCTCCACCTATCGGCCGATACAAAGGAAGGAATACACGAATATTCTGATTCGCCATCTGTCGTCGTGAATTATCACACCGTGCGTTAAAAAGTTGCGTTAAAAAGAGGGCATTAGATCGTGATTTAATGATCAAAGAGAGCTCTTCTCTTTCTCTCCGCCTCCTCGTTTCCCCTCTTTCTCTCTTCCCTTCATAAAAAGAATCGGCTCATTCGACCTCGAAGGTGCACCCTCAACCGTGCCGATCGAGTGACGTTTACGCGACGCGGAGTGCGAACGTAAATCGCGACGAGATGCACACGTAATCTCAAACAGTCTCTCTCTCTCTCTCTCGGCCTCTCCCGCGGTTCTTCCGGTCTGGCGGGGAGGGACGATTCATCGAACGGCGTATGTATCCGCGACGGACGGAACGAAACAGGTTGGTCGAGTTTTAAGCAGTCCGAAGACGTATCGCAAATTAGAAGAACGTGCGTCCGGCGGCGGCGGCGGTGGCGGCGTTGTACACGTGGCGCCTGAACGCGCAACGTCGAATTTCTGCACGTGGCCCGCGCGGAATCCCTAATAAGTCAGCGCGCGGCTAGACAGAAGTCTCGCGCGTACGTATTCGCATGCAGGTTGGCCGCGGTGGAGATGGAGCGACGTCACGGATACGTGGGATTCCTCTCGAGCAGCTGGATCACGTGCAGCGGCGGAACGTGAGACTAACTTAAATGCGAATCAGGAACTGTGCAAAGCCGCGCCGCGTCGCGTCGCGTCGCGTCGCGTCGCGTCGTCTCGCGCCGCACGGACACGGATCTCGAACTCGACGCGCTCGCGCCCCGATTTCAATTGTTTTTTCCCCGCACCGATTTGCTCTCCTCGTCACTGTCCGATTCGCCCGGCCGTAACGCCGTCCGCCTCGAGATCGAACGGTATCTGCCGGGACGCTGGATGCCGCGCGCGGCGTAATTGCCGAGGAAGTTGCCGACGAGGAAGCGGATTTCTCTCACTGTGTCTGCGACATTACGCGCGCGAGCGCGTGCTCGCCTCCGATGCCGATTTTTCGTCAGCTTCCGCGCCGACGCGCGTCTCGTCGACGATGCTTGTGTGTACTTCGAAGCGCCGTCGCTTGCTCGCGTTACGGAGGACGACGCGTCAGTTTGAAGGACATGCGCTTTTCGTGTGGATCGAGCGATAACGGCGCTTCTTGCTGAAGCAGATTATTTCTTTCGGTTTTTATGGGACATTAGATATACTCCGACGATAACGAGCAACCTCAATTCGGCTCAATTTGGAGATCTTCGCGCTGATCTGAGAAACCGCACGCGAGCGCGGAGAGATTTAATATTACTTTTGTACGCGAGGGCTGAAAAAATTGCGTCACGTTGTATCACATCGATGCGCAAGTCGGATCTCGTCGCGAGCTTCTCGCGATCTTTGTAACGTTGTATAATTGCGCGTTTTCACGCGAGACGGCATTTGTGTTTAACATACACGTGTCCGTTTCAAGATCGAGCTCGTCGATGTCATCGTACCCTTTCTTACTGACGAGCTGAACGAAATACCGCGCGAGATCGGGATGCTGCGACGAAAAATTTCTTAACGCAAAACCCAGAAAGTAACAATAGGTATTTTCATTAGTCGAGTGGTTCGGTCCAATGGCAGATATTTGATTCGCTTTTTATCGCACTGCCCCGCATTCCGGTCCGGCGTGGCCGCTTCGTCGAACGGGATCGGAAAAACGCCCGCAAAGCCAACTTCTCGATCGTAACGTCGGAAGAAATTCCGTTTTAGAAGTAAATAGCATTGTGAATACACCTCCGAGAATGACGCTTTATTTATTCCGGAATTTCGATTTGCACGCGCGCGCGCGCGCGCGCGGAACACAAGTCCGTAAAACTGTCCGTCTCGTTGTTCCTTCGATCGCGGAATATTGTTTCCAAGGTCTCCCCCGGGAGACCAGGACCGCAAGGGGAGGGAGGAGGAGAAATAAAAAGAAGAGAAGAAAAATGGAGAGAGAGAGAGAGAGAGAGAGAGAGAGAGAGAGAGAGAGAGAGAGGGAGGAGGCGGGAACAAAAACTTGGAGATTCCAGAGTTGATCTCTCGCTGTGTGTTGGAAAACGGTACATTTTGGATTTGCCTGTAACAACTAAACGGTCGCGGCCTTATCTAATCTCAATATAATTGCGCGTGCGCACGTCATATAAAATAGCTTATTATACTATAGAAAAGCTGATTCGCGGGGACTATAATACGGGGTTTGGAAATTAGCCTTGCCCGTCTGCCTATCTACAATGGTGATGATTATGTCTACTTATAGGTATAACTACCTACGTGCGCCAAACTACCCGTCTACCGTCCGAAATAATCTTCGCGGTCCTGCCTCCGTCGTCGCCCCTTCTCGCCCGATGAGCTTGTCGAAACTAGTTTATGAAACGAGTTCGGAACCAATGACCTCTCCTCCGCGTAGTTGTTACGGTATCACGGTGTAGTGACGAAGCTTGTTTATGTGTTACAGATTTGAGGAGAGACACTACGCTTTCGAAAGGTATGCTCAACTTTACTCAAAATGCATGCCATTTTTCGTGATATCCGATGCGGTAGCCTCCTCTTCCTCCTCTCTTACCTGTACTCGCTTCGAGGGCTCCGTCTTCGTCCTTCCTGCGAAGACGAGCGCGCGTTGCAAAAAATATTGTTACATCACTTACGATAAGATGGGTAATAATGTGACGAGCAGATTTGACGAGAGGCTCTTACGAGACGCGTCGCGTCGGGCGTCGAGATTTTTTACACACCGAAAGCCAGACGTTAGCGCAAAATACAGATAACTTAAGGCGCGCTTCCACAAGCGCGCGCGCGACGTACAATCGGCAATTCTCTCGCGGCTATACATAATACATAGGCGTGATTGTCGCGTATGCGCCCTCTAATAAGGGCTTTCCCGTGGCGGCCGAGTGGCGGGCTAAACGTCGGTCGGTGACGAAACGCGATTATGTAAAAATTGCCCAGCGCAGCGCAACGCCGAATTGCAAAGCAGCGCGGTATTTCGGGGCTGTCGAATGTGCGCTCGTTGTATTATAATACAAACCGGCGCGCCGGCCAGCCGCTTTTGTTTTCCGGATGATTGCCGAGCGCCTTCTCGTTCTCGCCTTATGCGGATCTCGCCGGAGATCTCTCCGAAGCGGAGGCGTTTATCGCGCCTAGGACGAAGGTGCGTCGACGACGTCGACGATCATTCGTAGTCTTTGAAGAGTCTCCAGCAGCGCGCCCCCCGAACTCGACTTCGTTACTTCGCGCGTCGTCATCGATACGGTTGATGTTACATATTGCTCTTTTTAATCGCCGTCGCGTCGATTACAGTCGATCGCGTCCCGTCCGCCACTGACAGCTTCCTTATTACGACGGAAAGTAGGAATGCTACTTACGGGGGCGTCGCGAGAGAGAGAGAGAGAGAGAGAGAGAGAAAGATAGAGAGAGAGGGGGACAGAGGGGAGAGAGAGAGGGTACGGAACGATATAGAGTTCAACGTTCGATTCAGCTCGGCACAATTCCAGCGAGCCCCGCGACCGTCTTAAAAGGCGCTTTAAATCGGCGTGTCGTGAAAGAATCCCATAGAGATGCGGCGTATAAAGGCATTCCACCAACCCTCCCTCCCTCCCGCTCCCTTTTTTCCTCTCTCATCAAGGTTCGGCGTATCGATCTATCCCGTTCGAGTGTTTCTCACGTCCGTGTCTCACGTCGCGTCGCTGCGGAGTATTTTATCCGAAAGCGAATCATTTTTGCACTTCGCGTCCCCGCCCTGCCGCCCTCACCCCCTCCCCGCTCTCCGTGTATGAACGATTTTAACGATGCGACTCGCAACACCGATAATATTTTGCATTTCTTTGATTTCCTCGCACGAGCGTTGCGACTCTCCTTCTTCGACCTTTTCGCGCGCGCGCGCTCTCTCTCTCTCTCTTTCTCTCTCTTTCTCTCACTCTCTCTCTCTCTCTCTCTCTTTCTCTCTCTCTCTCTCTCCTCTCTTTTGTCTTCTTTCTTCTTCCTGCTTCCTGCTCTTTTTTCTCTTTCTGGCGAAAATTCGCGACTCCATCGGGCATATTCAACGTATCGCGAGAAACGTTAATAATAAAAGCGAAACATATATTTGAGGATTCCCACGACAAGTACGAGCTCCTACTCATTTATTCCATAAATCTGACGATAAATAACCGACACATTGGGGCGCGCTCGCGTGGCTGCGGAGACCGCGGCTGCTTATCGTATCCCACAAATGCGCCGGAACGCATTTAAAATGTATTGAACTGTCACGGAGCAGTGGTTTTCTGGATTTTTACATTTTTCATCGACGCCCGGGGTGCAGGCCCGCGTGGATTAGTAAGTTATTGTTGTTCTAAGTGTGTCGGTCAAAGGGAGTGAACCCTCCCCCCGAGTCCTGCCGGGAGTAATCCTGACCATAACGGCTCGCACCCCACAAAACTCTCTCTCTCTCTCTCTCCCTCCTTCTCTCCCTCCCTTTTTGTCTCTCTCTCTCTCTCTCTCTCTCTCTCTCTCTCTCTCTCTCTCTCTCTCTCTCTCTCTCTCTCTCTCTCTCATCGTTGCTTCCTTGCCCCCGAATGCCGTGCCGAATGGTCGCTGTTTGCTGACGCGTTGAAGTTCATTGAACTTCGCAGTCTGTTTCCAGAGAAAAAACCACGTCGTAAAGGAAAATGAGAAAAAGAACGTTGTAAAATTCGACGTCACGAAAATCACGATTTTCTCTGAACGTGTCGCGCGCGACTCGTCGTACAGCACTCATCGTTGATTTTTCTCCCGAGGGGTTTTCCTCGGAAAATAATGAGAAATTTTTTTTTTTTCTTTTTTTTATGAAAAAATAGGCGATCGACGGGGCGGTGAAACGCGGGCGCATATTACGGGCTACATTCGATCGCTACGCACAGGCTGCGCAGGTAGGAATATAGAGCAATTTGGCGTTAGAGAAGAGCCGATACGTTGCGGTGAAGCCGACAGATATTGACCTTCGAGTTTCTGCCTCATTTTCATACATACACGTTTGCCGTGGCGTTTATAGCGGCGTTGTCCGCGCGCCGGGGAACTTTTAATACATGCGCGTATCCCATATTGTTTTCCCATTACCATCGACAGACCGAAAAGACGAGTTCGCGTTCGGACGAGGAGAACATCGGAGCGCCGAGCGTTCAAGTCCCACTTCGGCTCAAGTCTCACCTCGCGAAACGCCTCCTTCACTTTTCGTCGTCGACGAAGGAAGAGCGTCATCGTCGTCACCTCCCGCGAATACTTATCCCGCTCGATCTCCCCGGGCTTATAATAAAACGGGCTTGAGGCGGGGAAAATAAAGACCGCGGCCGGGAGACGGGAGAGCGAAGATTCTTACTTCTGGATTAAACTCGTGACATTAATGGGCGCGGCAGGACAATTCACCCCAATTAATCCCGACGTGCGAGGGATGGGGCGAATCTTACACGGGATCGACTAAGACCGGCCTCGAGCTAATCTGCATCGGCAGATTGCCCTGAGAATTGACACCGAGAATTTTGTCGCACCCTTCGAAGTGGTAACATTTGACGTCTCATCTCGAATCAAACCCTCGGCCATCGTCTCCTTGTAAGCTCCTACCCCGTGCCTTTTGCCACAAGACACAAACTCGATGCATATATTACGTCGCCTTAATTGGAAAGCGCTCCCTGCTTGCAGCAACTTGAAACAACGTGACGACGATGACGATGACGACGACGACGACGTTGTCGTAATCGTTATAATTGTCATCATCATTGCACGTTTCCTTTTCTCTCTCTCTCTCTCTCTCTCTCTCTCTCTCTCTCTCTCTACCTTATTGCAATGCACGTTTTTATATGCGATTCGATTTATAGCCCAAGCACGTGTTGATTAACGTTCGTTTGCTTCCATTTGAAAAAATTTCGTCATTGCTTTCGCACGTGTCGCCGTGTCTGAGATGTAGGCTACATGTTCCTTTCGCGTCGTCGGAGCTCAACCACCAGCTTCCGTTACCGAGGGAAATCGAATGACGACCTTTCTCTCGCGCGAGCGTTGTTCTCTCGGCGGAACGTATTAAACAGATTGTAAAACGTCGTTTTGTTACCGCGCATTGGCTCGCTCCGTCCTGATAATAAGACAACCGCGTGAAACCCGTAATTATAGTCGGTGTGAGATAGTGAGGATGCTTTTTCTCTCTCTCTCTCTCTCTCTCCCTCTCTCCCTCTCTCTCTCTCTCTCTCTCTCTCTCATTCCCGAGTCTCGGCGGTATAAAAGTGCGCTGCTATAGAATTGTAAATATATGGAAATGCTTTCCCGAGCTTTTGAGTGGTGCAACAAGAGGAGACTCGTGCGCCTCTGAAATTACGTATTTAAGACGCGAGAAGAAGCCACGTCGTGAACGCCGCTCGGAGACATCGGCGGGCACGCTGCAACGGACTGCATTTTTGCTCCGTGTTTACTCGTCAAAGGATGACATTTCGTCCGGTTCTCTCTCGCGTCGGACGCGCGTCTCTAACGTCTCTCGTCGGCGGAGAGCAGAACGCGATTTCGATAGAGGAATAGGAAGGCCCTGGAGCGAAAACATCCCCCCTTTCGTGCGATCCAATGCGCCCAGGCATTCCAAACGTTTCGTTTAATTAGCACCCTGCGCTTTCTCGCAGCTCGTAAAAAGAAGGAACCGGCCGATGCGCGCACGTGGGCCGACCGGTACTTTTGTAGGGAGATAAAAAATTTCCGGTCGTTTCACGGTAATTAAAAATGTTGCAATAAAGAGAAGGGAGTTCTTTAATTCACGCGATGGCTTATATCGTAACACCGCGTTTTCCGCGACGACGCCTCGGACGAAATTTCGGTCCTACATTAATCGTGAACATTCCATCACGCTTGGATGGAAAATCTCCAGGTGTAACATTACGCGGACTATTTTTCTTTGATGTTACCGCGCGATGTTATTTATTGCTGTTTCCTTCGTGTTGATGGGTCAAGAAAGAATTTGGAATTTCAGAATTGTGCAATGTTCGACTTGTATGTTTTAATATTCTCCCTTGGTGGAGTTAGTCTGTTTTCTTATTTTCAACAAATAATATATTAATTATATGATTTTTACGTAGCTACAAATGGATTATACGCTGCAAGCAAGTACTGGATAATTGCAGAAAAAAATAATGGAGTAACCAAAACAACAAACTTTCGCTCACAACTTGTTTACCGTAGCTATTTTCTATTAGCACTGGACATTTCCATAGAATTTACAGGCTCCGGTAGATTCTAAATTTCCGGGTGTATATTTACTTAGTATATATTTACAACTCTTTTTTCCTTCCTTTTAAAAATCCTTTTAACATTTTCGTTGATTCGCGGTATTTATGAAATGCACGATTTTCCTTTCTGTGGATTCGGTGATCGACAATTATCGACACGTTGATGAAACTTTGATAACTTTGCGCGAGTGTTCTTAGCGAGAGCGGAAAAGGAATTGATTATAGTGCTGTAAAGTTATCGCTTTTCGCTTCCTTCACGAAGAAGAAAACGAGA